TCTTGAAGCTGATTTTTCTTCTCCAGAATATAAGGTTGACACTGAGACAAAACTTCCCATCTGTGTGCTTTACTGGCATGTAATTGCTCCAAAGAAGGGAGGAGGTTCCCTAGATAAAAGTGCTCACTGCTTTCCTTGAAACTATTTTCTGTAAATAAAACTCTTTCATCTTTGAACTTAAATATATTTCAACCCCAATTTAGGTTCCTTTTTCCCCTCTTAGTCCTGGACCTCTCTAAGTTATTAAAAAAAAAAAGACTTTCTTAATAAGCCCCAAAGGTAATCAGAAAGAAGACAGCAAAATGAAACAACTCGTAAAATATTCCTCAGCATCTTTAGGGAATACTTAATGCACACAGGGTCAGGGCTTTGTAATGGTAATTTAAGAGTTGTAGGAAGTGATCCATCATTTTAAAGAGCAACATTGCCATCCTTGACAAAAAGTTTATGTTTCAGAATCAACTTGAGTCCCTGCTCACCTCAGGAAAACAAATGTTGGCACATCTTCTTGTAGGACATAATGAAGGAGATTTTCTATAATGTTATGCAAATGTCATGCTAAATGGTACATAGGCTTTGAGAAGTGACAGGCAATTGCAGCTGTCCAGTTTTCTGGAAAGCACTAATGCTGTTCTGGATTAATTTTTCTTTCTGGAGCAGACGTTGTATGGAAATTACCCTTGACTGAAAGCCATCGTTGGAAAGGTCACAGCAGTAGATACAAAATCCATAGGCAGTCAATTGCCTTCCACGGATTCAGCATTACTGCTCTTGCCTATTTTACCCTTAGGCATCTTTTATTTCTTGCACAGATGGTCTCACTCAGCCCTAACAAAATGTTTTAAGCTGTTGAATAAATTAAAATAAGAGGCCCCGAAGTACAAAAGTGCAACTCTTTGGGAAGGAGTTGGGGGTGGGGAGGGAGTGCAGAATAGGCAAGGAGAGGAAATGATACAGGGCTCTGCTTCCCCTTCTGGCACCTTCTTCCCCTGGCTCCAGCAGATGAGTCTCAGGTATTTCCATCAGCACAGCTGAACTCATGGCGTGGGGAGGAACAAGTGGGTAAGGCTGCAGAGGACTGAGTGCAGTTGTCACATCATAGATGTGCACCAAGGTATTGAGGAAAGATGGTCAATAATTTTTTACATACTTTTTGAATTGCAAAGGGTGATTTGATCAGGCTCAGCCTTCAACCTTGCAATTTACTTTTGGTAAAATGAAGCTCCTCAGAAGTATTTCACAGATCATTTTAAAATGCTGGTTTTTAATCTCCAACATGGATGTCATGGTTTAATCCCAGGTGCAGCTCAGCCCCACACAGCTGCTCCCTCACTGCCAGAGAGATTAGGAAGGGGAAAAACTGAGAAAACTCATGGGTTGAGATAAAGCCTGCTAGGACAGTAAAGGAAGAAAGGAATAATGATGATCATAATAAAATTAGAATATAGAATACAAGTGATGGACAGTGCAGTTGTTCACCACTCACTGACCAGTGCCCAGCCAGTTCCTGAGCAAAAACTGAAATCCCAAATTATTATTTTCCTTTGAAAGACTTAGACCTTACCTGTAGAGTAAAAAGGAGCATATCCTCGAGCAAAATACTGGGTATGTGTTTAGTTCCTTACTTGATGTATTTTTTAGTTCAGCTTGCCACTGATGGTAAAATACCTCTGTGTTGTTTGCTTGTGGACTGGTTTGCAAGTAAATTGAGGTGACTGGAGTGAAAGTGTTGCTTGGGGCCTCAAGGCTTCCCTTTGGCTGTTGTCCCACAGCTCCAGCTATTCCTGTCTGCCTCTAACACCCAGGCTCAGTTTTGATGCCTTGGGCTTCCACCAAAGTGTGGCTCTATTGTTATCTTCAAATCTCTCAGAAGTGTGAGCCTCCTGATGTACAGCTAAAATCTTCAGAGGATTTTTGATGCTGTGTAACAGAGGTGGAAATGAGGTTTATATGATATTACATGTCGGTATCTTACCTAAAGATGAACTACAAGGGTTTGCAGCTCCCTTAGTGGGGTGGAAACCCCCTTAAACAATATAGGACTAATTAAATCCAGTGCCTTTACCTCACTTTCCTTTTTGCTGCTATTCTGGGGTGTGGGGTCACTCTGACTTCAGGGAGGCAGCTCTCTTCTGTTCCACTGAGCTGAGGTTGAACTGTGCTGCTCGGATTGTGCCTTGTACCCACTGCAGTGTGATCCTCTAATCAGCCATTAGCAGATTCAAGCTTAATCAGGTTTCTGTGACTTTCACAATGCATGAGGATCTTCCCTCAGTGGAAGTTAGCCACAGATAATATTTCAAAGCTGTAGCTATTAGGTCAATGATCCTCTCTTGAGGCATGTGCCAACACCTTGGGAGCTTCATTTGAAAGACCAGTCCAGCAACTTGAACACAGCCTGATACACAAAGAATTCATGAGTGGGACAGGGCTGGCACGTAGAGAGTGCTTGAAAAAGGTGCTGTGAAATTGTTCTCAGCCAAATTAGGGTTTGGCTGTTGAGGTACCCAGAGTGGTGGTGCACAAAGTCCTGCCAGTCCCTATTTCCCATAGGATAACAGCAGCCCTGTGGGGTAGGGAAAGGCTCCAGCACATGGGCTGGCACAGCTGGGGCAGGGGACACTGCCTGGTCACTGGGATGGAAGGGAAGGGAATGTTGAAACCTGGAATGTGTCACTGTGAGGAACTGAACTTGCCCTGGCATCAGACACATCCTATCCCCAACTCTTAGCTCATTTCTCATGGTGACTATAAACAATGGCAGAATACTGGTCTTTTTCCCAGTTAATAGTCAATAAAAAAGAGATTCTTTGAATTACTTAGTTGGGTCTTAGGAGAGGTCTAGTGCTTGTAATTCCTGCTCCCAAATCCAGTTCTCTTTACTTGTAGGACTTCTATATTGCAAATTCCTGTCCCTACTGGTCAGGAGGATGGTTGTTATCCCACCACCCTGTACCATAGCTCTTGCTTTTGTTGAGAGAGCAGAGAGAGCAGCACAGCACTTGGACATTGTGCATTAGTCACTGTCACAGTTACCTCTGACAGTGAAACCTAATAAATGGGAGCACAGACTTTATAGGTCATTGAATGCTACCAGGTGGATTCCTGGAGAAATGGAGAACAGCACTGTTGTAACGTGGGCCCCTTCCTTCACTCCCAGCCTGCAGCATTCCCTCTGTTTGCTCAGCAGCCCTTTTCTCCTCACCATTTACTGGTTGTACCTGCCATGCTTTGTTGTTTATTGGTGGGAATTTGGCTTTGACAATGATGTAAGCTGTTTGTGTAACCACATTTTGATGTGGGGTGTGTTGCTTATTTCCTTGAATATTGTGGTAGCTGTGTTCTTCAGTGTCTTTTGACTGAGAATATTTCTGTACTGAACAGCAGATGAAACTCAAGGTGACCAGTTCTATTTTCATGTCTCTTCTGCCTCTAGGCTGGAGGCTTCCTCCCTTCCTTTTGGACAGTTAACATAGAGAAGAGATAGTGTTCTCCTTCAACTAATTAGATGATGCATTTCAGAGTAGTCAGTTATGTTTAGTCACTTAATGAATTATGTTTTGCCAGTTGACAGAGATTGATCAGCAGACAAAGAATCCAAATCCAAAAGAGAAAAAGGAGGCAACCATAGCTGTATTATTAAAGAAGTATTCACAGACAAATGGAGATATTAGATGTGTAACAGCTAGGCTACACTCATAATTATACTATCATAATTAGAAAGGACCCGTTTCATTTTTACAAAATTTCGATTATTTTTGTAGCATTGTATTTCAAATTTCGGTAGGTTCGTATCACACAGAACAAAAACCTCCGATTTTTCATGTATATTGGTGGGGCTTTTTGTTGCAGTTTTTCGAGCTGTGGGGTAATGCATGTGTAGGAAGTTAATGATGTGGTCTCTGGGTGTTGCTTTCCTGTACAGAGTACTGATAATGAGCTTGGAGTAATAGGGTACGAGTCCCAGAAGATGAATTCTGATTACCTTTGTGGTACCATCCCCTGTATGCCCCTTCTTCCTTGATGTTTCTGTAAAGAACATTTGGATTTTGATGAGGGTATTGCCTATTTGACTTTTAATTAGATTTGTAGTATGTTATGTTAATAAACTGTGACTCTCTGTTTAGTTGGTTTGTTTTGTTTCCATTTTCTTACAGTGTATATTCATGGTGTACATATGGTGGCAGGCAGCAGTTGAAATATTTTGCTTCTCCATGACTAAAGCTTATATTTATTGGTCCAGAGAGGGTGAATTTTGCCCAATACTCAATAATAATCAGTAAACAGTAGTTAAATTGTACAGAGACTAGCAAACTGCGGCATACTGTGAAAGTGCAGAGAGGAATCCTCCAAGGAAATTGCATGATAGGTCTTAAATAATACCTTATAGTCATGGGCTATACCATTATAGGCACTAAAATTAAATATACAGCTTCCCTAAACAGCAGGTTATCTTTCCCATTTCCCCCTTTTAATAAAAACTCTGGGACTTTCTCATGTTGACAGGTCAAGTGTAGTCTTTTTATAATCTCCATGGTTTATCCCATTTGGAGTTCTTGAAATTTGTCTTCCTTCTACTCACTCCTTTTCCCCTAAATAATTTACTTGTTACTGCATACTTTTAATTGAGATTTAGGAAGCAAAAAGAAGCCTCAACCTTTTGCTGAATCCATGTAACACAAATGCATTTGGATGGCTGCTGGTTTGTAGCTCTGACTCGTGGTGCCCAGCTCCCTGCTTGCATTGGGTTTTGCTCAGCAGATTGCTCTGCCAGGTTAATGACCAGGCTGCTGTGGACTGGGCTGATTTCTCTGCTGTTTGTTTTCAGTGGGATGAGTTTGGTTATGGCAGGGCTGCAATGCCCTGTCAGCACAGGTTACTCCTGCTGGACACGGTGACACTGCAGGGCTGATGGACAGTGGTGACACTGCAGGGTTGATGGACAGTGGTGGCACTGCAGGGCTGTTGGACAGTGGTGACACTGCAGGGCTGTTGACACTGCAGGGCTGATGGACAGTGGTGGCACTGCAGGGCTGATGGACAATGGTGACACTGCAGGGCTGTTGGACAGTGGTGACACTGCAGTCACTGAGCAAGAACAGCTTCGAGGGATGAGGAGGGGCAGGGAGTGCTGCAAGTTTCAGTGTGGAAAAGTTGATTTGTTATTTTTATCCTGCTGGGATGCTCTCCTGTTCTAATTCCCTGGGAAGCAGAGGTGCTGCTGTCCTGTGCCCTGCAGAGTTGCTGATGGCTGCACAGTCTCGCTGCTTTGCCCTGCTGAGTGTCCTGGGGGCCCAGGCTCTGCTCAGCACAGGCCTGTTGGCTGAAATTGCTGCGTTTGGTGGCAGTTTTTGTGATGCACAAACCCATTGTGGATAGGCTGAGACCCCCTGGCTCAGGTCACACAGGTCATAGAGTTATCATGTCATTCTGCCTTTCAAACACTGTCTACTTGGGGTGAGTTTTAATACTTAATGAAGAATCAAAAGCTCAATTTTCTATTGTGGATTGTTTAAGACATCCAATCCTTTCATAACAAGATTTGGTTCTCTTAGGCTTCTAGTAAGCCAGAGGTTTTTCTAAGACAGAAAATGCTTTGCCTCTGAATTTCTGAACTGTATATTATTTTTTCCATCTGGAGTTGTGTTTCTTTCTAGATGCGAATAAAAAGTTTCTGAAATGGATAAAATATTTTTGAAATCTGCACACATCTTTTGAAGAGATGGGAAAGGGAAAAAATATTTTGGGAGTTTTCCATTGCCATTAGAGAAACAAGTATACAGTTTTACTCCCCTGTCTATGTAAATGATAGTAAAATTAGTAAGGGGAAGCCCAACTTGGATGGACCAAGCTCTTGAGTTAAACTGTTAAGATTAAATAACTGCAAGGTCTATGCCTTTATGCAGCTTTTTCTGGCATTTTATTAATAAATGCTATTTTGCTGTTGGAGGAATTTTTGCACATGTTTGTCTTTAATAAATTCAGAAGCAGGCACAGATATTCAGAGAAATTTCTGTCCATGGTCATTTAGTTTAGGGCACTGTGTCATAGTCATGACAAATAAAGCCCAGCTTGCTTTCCACACAACCCAGACTGGTGCTGTTTATTTGGTTCTGAGGCAGCCATGAGACTTTCCCTGTCCTTTGATGCAAAGTTTAGGATTTAGGATAGGAAGCTGTGCATTTGTCTCCTTGTGTGTGCTGTCCCTGGCAGTTCTGAGGGGTCCCTGTGTGAGGTGTTGGCAGAGGCAGGTGTTGCTGCCAGCAGCACAGCCACCACTTCACACATGGTGAGCAAAACTGGCCTTGGGGGCTTTGATAGTCATGGAGGAGATAAATAAAAATATTCTAATTGGCTTTTGCAGATGGGATCTATTGCCAGTGCTTTAAATTCTTGGGAGATGAGCATTTGGGTCCTGTTCCTGAGGCAGGGGAGTCCTGTTTGGGTGGAGCACGGGGTGAGACTGGAGGAGAAAGCTCAACTGCTGGTGCTGACACTGAGGAGGGATGGGGGAAATGGGGGAGATTTGGGTCAGGCTCAGCAGGGACAGCAAAACCAACAGCCCCAGGGGCTGGGACAGCCTGGGCACTGTGGCCATGGCAGGGTGTGCACCTGAGGGGCTGGGCAGGGCAGTGGTTCTGATGGGCTCCCTGTGGAAGGAGAGGTGTTCCCTGTGGAAGGTGAGGTATTCCATGGGGGAAGGTGAGGTGTTCCATGTGTAAGATGAGGTATTCCATGTGGAAGGAGAGGTGTTCCATGTGTTGCATGTGAGAGGTGTTCCATGTGGAAGGAGAGGTGCTCCTGCTGCAGGCTGAGGAGGGGTTGGAGAGGGCAGAGACCCATGGCCTGTAGAGCAGGGCATTTTATGACTGACTAAAACACCTCCTGCCCACTCTGAGTATGGGCAGTGATTATCCTTCCCATCCATGCTGCCAATCCACATGGCTTTGCTTCACTCCACCACTGGGAATGTTTCTTTTCACTCAAAATGGGCTTCCCACAAACACACATGAAACACAAACTTGAGCCTTTTCAATCAAGGGAATGGGTTAAGGGTGGATTTCTAATGGAACCATGTATTTTTCAGGCTTGACAATTTTCTCAGGTAATTTGTTTTGTTAGGCTTGGCCAAGCCTCCCTCTGTGTTGTGCTCAGTGTGAATCCACCCCCATGGGCTCTGCTGCTGCCCAGGGGCATGGCAGGGCTGAGGGGGAACAGGTATCACCCCCACAGCCCCACCAAAACTCACAGCAAAGTTTTCCTCAACTTTGGATCCCACTGCAGCTTGATGGCACCAGAAGAGAGATGTGCAGTTGGGCTGACAATCAGTGATTGGCATCGTGCACAACTCATTATTGTGTCAAGAATTTGGCATGTCCATGGAGAGGAAACCATGTGCGTTGTGTTGACACTGAGCTTAATTCATCTCCTCGCGGTGGCAATGCCAAACCCTTATCTCATCAGTGCTCGTGCCAGAGCGCCTGCCAGCCTGCCAGCTCCTTGTCAGAATAATGAGCTGTGCCTAATACCGAGCATTCCGTGGCAGATGCCGCCTGCTGTAGCCATTTTGTACAGTTGGGAGCCTCAG